GGCCTGCAGCCCGACACAGCCTGCCTGGGCCTCGGTTTACCTGCTGTGCATGTGTTGGGTGGGCCCCAGGGAGCTGAGGGACACCCTTGGGTGTCTCATTGGCTTGCGAGCTCCAGAGACAGGATACCTCTGGAAAAGGGGAGGCCCAGCATGGCTAAGAGTCAGGTGCTGTTCAAGGCCACAGGGATGTAACCACGAACAAAACAGACACCAAACCCGGCCCTCACAGAGGTTCTGGGCAAATGCAAGGGTAGAATTTATCTTCTCAGATTTGGATGTGGATTTATTTGGAGCCTTAATGGAAGCTATTTTGCAATGGCCTCAGTTGGGGACGTGGGCAAGGGGAAGGGGAGGCTTGTTGCTCAGAAGGTTCCCTAAGCCTGACCCTGCTTGGAGAAGGGCACTGGCCAGGCCTGGACCACACCAGGGGTGGCTGGTGACCTCGGGCCAGTCGTTGCTGACATTGGCTGGGTCCCAATTCCCTGAGTCACCCTGCCTCGCCCCAGATTCTCCAGCCTCGGACTTGATTATAGCCCGGTCATCACAGCTGAGACAAACCTCTGGTTTGGGAAGGGAATTTTCCCGAATGCCACCCGCTAAGCTTCTGGCATTGAGTGGAATGTGCCGCCCCAGGCCGTGCCTCCTTCCTGTGCTTGGCTCCCTCTACATGGGGCCACTTCCCTGCCCTGCTCCTCTCCTCTTCCACCCCTGCCTCACCCTCTCCCTGTCCCCTGTACTGTCCTCTTGACCTCCCGCCTGTCCAGGGCAGGCTTTGCTGTCCAACTCTACAACAGACCTGTTTCTGCTGTCCACTGCTCCCCCTGCTCACAGCCACCTGCTCCTGCCCCATCTGGACACCTCCAGCACTTTTCGGGTGTCGTGACATCTCCTTCAGAACCAGCCCTGTCTTTAGCCAGCTCTCCTTTCCCCACAGCTGTCTTCCCAAGGAGTTGACAGCCGGGGGTGGGGGGTGCCTGGCATGGGGAATTCTATTGACAATTTGAGCCAGGCCTTTCTTTACTGTGGGGGATTTCCTGAGCACTGTGGGTGTTTAGCAGTATGTGTGGACTCTGCCCCCTGCATGCCAGGAGCATAACCAAAAATGTCTCCAGCCCTGCTGCGTGCCCCCCTGGGAGCAACTGCTCTTGCTGGAGAACCACTGGCCTAGGGGATGAGAGCAGTTGGCTGAGACTTGGCTGGGATCATGCTGGAAGGGCCCCGAGCAGTGATCTAGTCTAAATCCCACAGTTTAAAGGAATTGGGCCTTGGAGAGCTACAGAATCTTAAGGTCACACCAGGGAGCAGTGTGGCAAGAGGCATTTGGAAAGAAGATCCAGGCAGCTCTATGTGGGCCGAGAAACAGAAACCAGAGGCAGGGAGTGCCGCGGGACCTCTCCAGATGTAGCAAATGCTCGCAGGTCTCCTGGGGAGGAGACGGTGTAGGAGCCTGCCCGCACACTCAGGAGGCGAAGTCCCATTCCAGCCTGGCCATGTGTCCATCCCCCTGCAGGTTCCCTGTCTGTTAAATTAAGGCCTGATCTTTGTGTTTTCTTCTTGCCTGGAGGCTCTGCTGGTGCTAGGTTTTCCAAAACTGGGGACAGAGGGTTCATTTTAGCAGGAGACCCTGAAGATACAGGAGTGTGGCAGCGGGGATGTGTGTGGTACCACCTTGCCCCGTGCAGGCCTCATTGAGCAACAGACATTTGTGTGCGATGCCCCAGAGCTGGGGGTGCGGCTTCATGGGAAGCAGGGAACAGGCGTGAGGGCTGTGAGAGGAGGCTTGTCAGGACTTAGGGACAGGCTGCTTATGGACAGGGACTGCTGCACTCACAGGCAGCAGATCTTGCCTGGGTCTCAGCCTGGGGCCTCGTGGGACCGTGGTGAGAAGGGAAGCAAGGTGTGGGGACAAGGCATTGGCTCTGTTCCCCCAGTAGGAGGCATCTGGACAGGGTGTCTGAGAAGCTTGCAGAACACGTCAGAGAATGTGGAACGTGAAGTTGGAGAACGAATTGAAAGAGATGACCAGTCCCCAGAAAGTTCTGAACTGTTGAGGTTTCCCAGGGAGGGGCTGCTAGGCATCACAGCAGGTCCCTGCCTGCCACCCCGGGGAAATGGAGACTCAGGTGCAGAAGGGACCCCCGGCCAGCTCCCAGTGAGCAGAAGGGCTATGCTCCGAGGACCTCCAGGCTCTGGGGCCTGGGACACCTATGCATCTCCATCTGCAGGGTGGTGGGGGCATCCTGCAACTCCATGGGTCCCAAAGTCAAGTCTGTTTCACAGGCTGTTCTACTGGTGGCAAGTGCCTGCTATATCAGTTTTCAGCTTTCTCATTCCAGTGTCTGACTTTTAGCTATAAATCTTCAACCTGAAAATCATGAATTTTTCAGGGTATGATTAATGAAAGAAAAATTGAGACGGCAGCACAGAAACTGACCAGATTTGAAGAAAGTCAGTTGACAAGTTGGATGCAAGTTTCACATGTCAAGGGAAAATTCAAAGAGCTTCTGAGCCGGGCTGGAGCGCCACCTAGTGGTCATAGAGGGTGGTGACACCCATTGCCCCCTCCAAAGCTCTATGATGCCTGGTTTCAGCCAAGTGCATTCCTGGGGAACCTTGACCTGGTTCCACCTGGGGCTGCTCTCCACCGTGAGGGGGACCCAGGCAGTTGTTCAACTTACTTAACTGATCTCCTATGGCTCCTTGAACCATCTCTGATTTAGTAACACATGGAGATATCCCCTATCTTATTTTTCCCTCCATGCATGGCCTGGGCCCCCTTTCAGTTTCCCCACTTATCAAAGTCTTGCTTATTCTTCAGGGCCCAGCAAGTCCTGTCAATACTGTCCGTGTCACACTGGACCGTTTCTCACTGCTCCTCCAGAACCACCAGGGATGTCACAACCTGCTCTTAGCCCCCCCCCCCCCAGTAGCTCCTCCTTGCTCTCTGGCTGCCTCCTTTGCCCTCCAGGGTCTTTTCTCAGAACATCAGCCACAGTCACCTGAAGACATCAATCAGATGGTGTCATTCTGCAGCTGCAGGAACACGCTGAGAACACCCACATCTACCTACCTGCCAGATCCTGTCTCATCTGTCCCCGGGCCACCCCGCCTCCTTCGTCCCCTACCGTGCTTACTCCTCACTTACTGTGTTGCAGCCACTGGCAGCTTGGCTGGCCAGGCTCTTTACAACCTGTACAGCCTTTGCACTTGTTGTACCCTTTCTAGAACATTCCATCTCCACATGTCTCTGTGGCTCACTCTCCCTCTCTTTTGGGTTGCTCCTCACATGCCACCTTTTCCATGATCCTTCTTTTCCCATCCTGTATCCAGTGACTTTCAAACTCTTTCACATCCTTATTTCTCTTCCTGGTTTATATCATTGAAAACTCATCTCTTTGCTAGTGTCGTATTTATGTCCCCATAGGAATCTCTTCATGAAGGCAGAGTGTGCTGGGACTGTTTCCTGCCATCTTCCCAGTGCGTAGGACAGGGCCAGCACTTAGTAACTCCGTGCCCAGTGTGGGTTTGTGGGCTGAATGAGTGAAGGAAATGCTGTCCCCCAGGGGCACTGCTGCCCTTTCCCTTCACTTTCCTGGGCATATGACTCTTTGCCTGATTGTGAACTACCTTGTCTTGGCCACATCTGTGGTTTATCCCTGAACGAGAACAACTTGAAAACAGGGTCTGTGTTTGCTTCAAGGGGCCACAGCCATGAGTACAGTTCCAGGTACATAGTAGATGCTCAGTAAATTCCTTCTCAGCAAATGGTGCCTGGCATTGGCCACTTCACATACTTTAGTTCACTTGAGTTCTCCCAACAGTCCAGTAGGAGGGTAATATTATTTTAATTCAATAAGTTTTCAAGAGATCTTATAGCCAGGACAGGCTGAAGCTGAGTATAAAATCTGTGACTCCCAAGCCCTTACCATCTACAATTTTCCTTGTGTGGAATGTTCTTTACCCTCTATCCTACCCCAAGTTCATCTCCTCCTCTGGACCCCTGTAGCATTTCTTTGGCACCAGCGTGTACTGCCCCAGGGTGGTAGATGCTGTGTTTTTATTCCCCCCTTCCAGCCAGAATGGAGGCCCCTGGAAGGCAGGTCTCTAAAGTGCCTGTAGCTTTTCTGGTGTGGGGTGATGCACGCTGTAGATAATGAAGATTGGTTGACAGATTGATTGGCTCCTCAAACTCAGTACATGTCCCCTGAGCCAGTGCAGGGAGCGGGGAGTATCGGCTACATGGAGCATATAATGAGGCAGATGTTGAGATCTACCGCCAATGAAAGGGAAGCTTCTCCAGGCGGAGCTGCTGGCTTCTGTCACAGCCCAGAGGTGCGGGGAGGAGGGTCAGTTTTGGGGTCCATCACGCTGGTGGCTGGCTTAGTTTGAGGGGTACCGAGGGCAGCCGTGAACTCCCACCTCCTGTACTTCGGCAGCCCCTCAGCTGGCCCCGTGAGAGCTTTTCTCCCTCTGTCTGGGGAAATTTGTTCTTCAGGCTTCTGAGAACAGTGGCAAATGGCTCTTCTGGTTGGGCAACAGGACATACCCGCAGCAAGTTTTCCTTCTGAGAAACCAGACCCCGACGTTCTCTCCCAGTGCAGAGACAAGTCCTCACGTGCTTCCCCTGGCCACATGCCCCTCTCCTGGCCTCTGTCCTGGTGGGGCCTCTTTTCTATCTAGTGGAACAGCCTCAGTGCTTGTTTCTATCTAGGACCTTTGAGGTGTTTGTGGCCTGCTTTGCCTCTGTCTTATTTAATTTGATCCTGAGCGTGAACTGATGAGGTTCATGAATCTGGTCTAATCCCCTTCACCAAATGGGGAGGCTGAGGCACGGATTGGTGGGATTCATCTAGGTCTCGTGCTTTGGGTCTGTGACCATAACCTGGCTGCTGGCCCTGCTCTCACCTGTCTTGTGTCTCAGGGCTGGGGACATGCAGCCCTTGGATTTCCAGGGACAGGCGTGTAAGTGTGGGTCTAATGAGCTTTTCCTTTCTCTCCAGCTCTGTGGCTGCGGGCTGCTTGGAGTGGGCATCTGGCTCTCCGTGTCCCAAGGCAACTTTGCCACCTTCTCCCCCAGCTTCCCCTCGCTGTCTGCAGCCAACCTAGTCATTGCCATAGGAACCATTGTCATGGTGACCGGCTTCCTCGGCTGTCTGGGGGCCATCAAGGAAAACAAGTGCCTCCTCCTCAGTGTGAGTTGGGCCCCCTGTCCCCAGCCCTCTGAACTCCAGGTCTCCCTGAACTTGGGCAATAGAAATGGGCAAGACCTAGAACATAAGCCAACGGGTGCCCAACCTGAGCCCAGGGAAATTGCTTCTAGAATGTTCTGTGCCTGACCCGAGTTGACCCTCTCCCCTTAGACTCGCGGTCTCTCTGGGTTTCCCTGGGAGGAGGTGGCCCCTCCCAGACCTGGGATACCCTGCCTGGGTGCTGCCTTCCCACGTCCCTCATTTGCACCTGCCCCTGGCCATCACCATTATCCTGTGCCCATGCCTGGACTTTTTCTTTCCAGTTTTTCATCGTCCTGTTGATCATCCTGCTTGCAGAGTTGATTTTGCTCATCCTCTTCTTTGTCTACATGGACAAGGTAAGCCTTCCAGCAAGGGAGTGGTGAACAGAATTTCATAGCCGTCACGGCCCAGGGGTTGGGCTGGGACAAGCCAGGGTCCTTCCCCTGGCCAGAGGACAGTGTAGACAGATTCTACCTGTGAAGAAAGTGAATTGACCCAGGAGTTAGGAAAGGCAGCCAGGAAAGACCTGGATGGAAGGTGAGGTGAGTTTGGAGCCAGTTGGGGACTTCGATGTGGTATATAGTCTTAAGAAGTAGAATCCCAAGTTACCCAGGGTGGCAGTCGACTGCCTCGCCCTCCAGGGAGCTCCCCCATACCGGAGGCACTTTCCAGGGGACTCTGGTCGAGTAGGGTTAACAGTAGAGAGTAGCTACATCCCCAGAGACCTTCCAGGAGAGACCGCTGCTCTCAGACAGCACCTCAGATTAGAAGGATGGCCAGAGTGAGCCCCAGCCACCTTCCGAGGACGGGTGGTTTGTGGCCACTTGGAGCATCTTCTCAGTGGTGTTGCAGAGCGGCCACCCATGTGCCGGTTTCTTGGGCTTCGAGGCCCTTTTGCTGATCTGCTCCCTATACCTATATGCATGTCTGTTTCCTGGTTCTGGAAGCAGTTGCCCAAACTACACAGAAAGTTACAGGTGTCATTAGGATTCGGAACAATAACTCTTTAGTTCTGCATCTGTGAAAGGGAAAAGAAACAGCATGAGGAGATTTCTGTGTCAGCCCTGTTCTTGGTTCTTTATAAGAATTCTTGTCCTTGAATTCTCACAAAATGGACTTTCTTATTCCAATAGCACTGGTAAAGCTGAGGAGAGAGAGGCCACGGTACTTGCTCGAGAGGTGGCCATAAGATCAGAGCGACTGATCGGCCACCCTGTTTGCCCAGGGTGTGGGGCAGTGTGTGGGGAAGATGTCAGGACAGAGTGGCTGGTGTGGGTGGTGGTCCTGGGCAGGCGTTGGGGGCGTGCCGCCTGCTCTCCTCGTCCTGTGGCAGTGCTGGCTCTAGAGGTGGCAGGTGATGATGCTCCTGGGGCAGACTGAAGCCCAAGCACCCTGCCCCCATCCCTGCTGCCTTCCCTCCCCCACCCGGGAGCCCCCTGCCCAGTCCTGGCCGGCCTGGCCCGGGTCAGGGACGGACACCGTATCCTGGCCCCCTCCAACCTGCGGTGCTCACCTCCCAGGTGAACGAGAACGCCAAGAAGGACCTGAAGGAAGGGCTGCRGCTGTACAACACCGAGAACAACGTGGGGCTCAAGAACGCCTGGAACATCATCCAGGCCGAGGTGAGGGCAAGGCCAGCGGAAGGCGGGGTGGTGGCCGGGCCTTCAGGCCACCTATCCAGGTGGCGTTTGCCTGAACAAATGGATCAGGCATTATACCATGGGATACAGCAGAAGAGGGATGAGGAGGTGAGCACGGAGGCCAGGGGGCCCGGACACAGGAGTGGACAGGCCTGAGGGAGCTCTGGGAGTGGCTTGGCTTTGGGGTGAACTGTAGGATTTATCTCACAAGGATTGGCCGCTATGATTGTGCTCGGCTCAGGCAACAAGCTCTGATTCTAAGAGGAAAATAATCAGTATTCCCGACACCCCACTTTAAGCCCTGAGAACTGGCCAGTGGACCTACGAGCCACCAACTTGGGATGGTTGGTCTGCACCACAAAGCAAAGAGCTGGAGGTGCTGTTGGGTGAGCAGGGGACTGGAACAGTTGCTTGCCTCCCCCAGGGCTCTACCACAGCCCAAGGAAGGGCCAGAAGAAGGCCCTTTGTCTTCTGACCTGAACCTCAGCACGGCTGCTTCAAGGGGTTGGGGTTGGCCCAGGCAGGGGACGGCCTGGGTGGGCAGGGCTGGCTGGGTGCTTCTCACCACTCCTTCCATCTCTGCTGGGCAGATGCACTGCTGTGGGGTCACTGACTACACGGACTGGTACCCAGTCCTGGGGGAGAACACAGTTCCCGACCGCTGCTGCATGGAGAACTCCCAGGGCTGTGGGCGAAATGCCACCACGCCCCTGTGGAAAACGGTGAGTCCTGGGGTCTGCCACGTGGTGCAGGGCCTGGCACGGGGATGACGGGCACAGGCACAAGGATGGGCTCTCTGGGGAGTGGGCGGGGACACCAGGGTGGAGTCAAAAGGCAGGGGTGTGTGTACACACTCGCCCACACATGCTGGGCCCCAAGTTGGGAGAGTCCCAGGTTAAGGGTTGAAGGGGGTCTGTGGCTGTGTACCTTGTAGGGGGAACCTTGGGTGGGGTGAGGCTGCTCACAGGAAGGAGGACCAGAATGGAGGGTCAGCGAGGGCCAGGAGGTGTGGGTGAGGACAGGGCCTGGCAGGGAAAGTGAAGTGGGGCTGAGCTGGGGGAGCTCATGTCATGCCGGGACCTTCACCTGCGTCTCGCTCCCCAGGGCTGCTACGAAAAAGTGAAGATGTGGTTTGATGAGAATAAGCACGTGCTGGGCACCGTGGGGATGTGCATCCTCATTATGCAGGTGAGGGGCGTCCCGAGGAGCCACGGAGCACCTCTACTGCACCTGACCCGAGGAGGGGGGCATTAAGTCACCTGTTGGCGCACGGCGGGGCTCTATCCAGCAGTTGTCATCCAGCTGGGGTGGGATGAGCAAGATCGCGCTCTGCGCTTGCTGGCACCAGGCTGTTGGTGTTGGTGTCGTTCGATATGATCTTCTAGTTGCACTCGAGCCAGAGAAGACACACACAGTGTCTCCTGGCCACCAGCTTTACGACTTGAGCAGTGGCAGACTATGTGGTGACCAGGAAGCCACAGCTGCCCCCCTTCTTCCTCCTGTGCTTGTCCAGGTCACCACCCCCTTTCAGATTGAGGTCAAAGGACACAAACAAGTACTAACATTGTCCCAAGCACCTCTGCCTGAGGCCTCATGTCCAGTGTTCTAGAACTAAGCATGAGACTCGGTGTGAATTTCATCTGTCATCGCCACCACCTCCCTCTTTCCCCGTGGTTCTTGTTGGCTCCTGAGTCATTCAGGGTCGGATCCTTCATGCCTTCAGCCTTCACACCAGCCTCTGACGTGTCATCTGTGGAGGGGGGCAGTGGCAGAGGGGCTCTGTACGCAGAGCTCTGAGCAGCTGAGCTGGAGTCCACCTGTGTGTCCCTGTGCTGTGTCCCCTGGTAACCTGGGCTGGCTCTTCACCCCAGAGCATTTCCCAGCACATGCATGTTTAGTTCCACTTGTGCTGGGTGCCCTGTGACGTTCCCAGGGCTCCCAAGGCTGAGGCCAGATCCTGGGCTGCTGGAGCCACCATCTAAGCCCCTCCCCTTGTCTTTCAGATCTTGGGCATGGCCTTCTCCATGACCCTGTTCCAGCACATCCACCGGACGGGTAAAAAATATGATGCGTGAGCGGGCTGGCGGGGGCGCCCAGTCCCACCCGGATGCTGTGCCAGGGAAGAGGATCTGAACTTCGTCCCCTGCCTGTGCCCTCCAGACTGCCATCCCTGCCCCACCTCCCCAGTCTGCCCTCCCCCTGCCCACCCACCTCAGCCTCAGACTTCTCCGAGGGCGGAGGGCCCAGTGGGAGGCAGCACGCAGAGACCTTGGGGCACTGGACACCTGGATTCCTGCACCTGCGATTTGCCAAAGACGACAGGGTGGGCTGGGGGACGCCAAGGAGGAAGTCTCCAGCACTGATGGGTTCCTACCTGCTGCCTTCCTCACACTGACACTTTGTCCCCAGGTGGGGTGGGGAGCAGAGTGTCCCCCCCCCCCCCCCCGGGGGAGAGTCTGCCCCTGCGGAGGCCACTGCCGTCCATACCGCCCAGCCGGAGAGCTGGCCAGGGCGGGTCCGACCGCCGCCCGCTGGAGCATCTTGCCCAGGCTTTTTATACCTTACAGCGTAACTTTTTTATTTTATTTTACTCTGATTACGATTATTCAGGAATATTATCTCTCAGATAAGTTTAGGGTTAGCTTTTCTGATTTATAACTTTTTACTGTGTTGATTTCTTTAACAGTTTGAATTTCCTTCTCCTATGGGTGGGGAAGGGAGGGGAGACGGGACGTCCGTCCAGTTTCCATCCAGAGACTCCTGAAGCTGTTGGGTGGGATGCACCAGGCTCTGCCTGAGATGTACCAGGAAGGAGGGGGGATGGCTAGCATGCGGCCCTCTGAGGCCTGGCATCTGTGAATAGGGGCCCAGGAAAGGCAGGAAAGACAAAGGAGCATCATGTGGGCATGACAGGGCGTCCTGCACAGGGGCAGTGGCATTTGCTGACTGAGCCAGGGAGGCCAGAGCAGTGGTGGGGTGGGCTGGGGGTCCTCCTGGGTAGGTGGCTGGTGAAGGGCTTTTCCAAGACTGTGGCCAAAGCTGACAGAGCCTTGTGCTTTTCACTGGTGAGCAGTTTTTAGTGTGGCCTTCTTCCTCCCTCTGCTGGCCTAGGTGGCTTCCCTTCCGACTCATGCCCAGGTCCCATAACCCCTGTTACTTTCACAGACATTCCTGCCGCAGACTCTGAGACACACCCCTCTAGTTCAGGAACCTGCTCACATTCATTGTCACTTACCTTAGGAGAGGGAAGCAGTCCTCATGGTCAGCTGCTCAGATGGTGGCAGAGGACCCAGGCCCATCAGGAGGGGGAGGCTGAACTGGCACACATGACTGTCCCTGCCAGATTATCCCAGCTGACTGCCTTGCTGGGGGAGGAGGGACAGGACCACGTGGCTCCCAGGGCCCTCATCTCCTTTCGGGGATTCATTGCTGTCCGCATAGGGGTGGGTGGCCACCACATCTTGTATCATCCCAAGGAGATGAGATACAGAAAACCCCAGAGGTTGGGGGATCTTGTCACAGAGGTCCCAGGAAAAGAGCAGTCGGTCCTGGCACACACAGACCTGGGTGCGGAGACCAACAGGCGGGTTTTCAGCTATAGCAGGGCATCCCCGCCAGAACTGGGGCTCCTCTGTTTAATGTTTTATAGTTTAAAAACTCAAGAATCCACAGGACTGAGCTTGAAAAGGTCACCTCGGGGCTCTCTAGGGGCCAGGCATGTCACTGGGTGGGGCCTTGTGTGGGCAGCCGCCTTTCCCTGCTCATTGTCTAGATCTCTCACCAAACTCCACCTGCTTTGTCTGTTCCCAGAGCTGAAACGGCCACCAGCCAACCAGTCACTCTCCACTCACCTTCACTAACATAGAAATCGGGACCAGGAGCGCAGGACTTTTGGTGTGTTTAGGATTCATGTTTTGGGGGTGGGAGTGGAAAACAGAGTGGTCTCAGTAAGTAGGACAGAGTGAAAACCACTTCCCTGAGACAAGAGCCTGGCACTGATGGACATCGCAGCGGGGTGGGTCCTGGGGCGTGTGGGGCAACGTGAGTAGAGCTGCTCTGGCCTGTTCTGGTAAGGAGCAGCAGCTGCCTCCCTAGGGCCCCAAATGCAGACACTCAGCAATGAGTGTTGGAGCACAGTGAGACCTGGTGCCTATGTTTTTGGTGGTGGGGATGGGTTCATTCATTTATGCCTATCAATGCAATTCTTAATTTTTGTTACTATCCACAGCAAAAGCCTAGTATGTTAGGGGGTGTCTAGCCTCCCTGGCAATCTTGTTTCTGGAGTGCTTCAGGGTGGCCTCTTGCTCTGGAGCCTTTGCCGCAGTCCCTCCTCCCCCCCACTGACCTCCCCTCCTCATCCGTCCATGTGCAAACATTGTCCACAAGTCCCCAAACTGCCTTTTTGCCTCACCTGTTCCTTCATGTTGCTGAGTCTACGTGGGGTGGAAGTCTCCATGCCAGGGCAGGAGTTCTCCTGAGCCCTTGACCATCCTGCAGAATGGTTCCCACACTACCTGGAAGGCCAGGAAGGTGGCTCAGTGTCTTCTCCATTTCTCCCTACTGTGATCTCATTGGGGCCAAATCCCGCCGAGTGAATTCCCTCCCTTGCCAAAGTCAGAGTGAGTTCAATTAGGTCTGATGCAAGCAATTTACAGACCTGACTCACAAAGTCCCTTAGGGTTTGCAGGCGACTTCAAGGGAATGCCTAATGTGACTCAGCCTTTCCTTGAAGCCATCGTGCCGAGGAGGTGAACTCACGGCTGAGAACTGCCTTGGGGTGGCTGGCGGTGGGTGTCAGGGTGCAGGTCTCCCCTGCGCAGCCACGCTCTCTGAGCTGGATCAGTGCCACCAGCCTTCCTACCAGCCTGGGCCTGCATCTTGGGCCCTCGCCCTGGAAAGGTCGCTGAACACACCCCAGACCCCCTCGCACGTGTTCTGGTTGGACTTGGAACTAGGTAGCCAGGCCTCCAGGTTTGGGTGGCTACAGAGTAGACAGACGGATGGAGTGGCTGTCTCCTCCTCTCCAGCCCCCTGCCCACCCTCGGGTGGAGGTGCTAACTAGCAGGGACATGGCACAGGATGGGAGCTGGGTGCCAGGTGCTTGGGGTCTGTTCTTTCCCCCTCAGCCCTTCAGAGCCCAGCGACCCCTCTGGTGTTCCATTCTCCCATTTCCCTTTTCTCTACCACTGTGAGGCAGTGGTCCAGGGTGGGTCCTGGCCTCCCTGCCTCGAATGGTGTCTCTGAGGAGTGTGGGCCTCCTGTCCACACCCTGCCCGCTGTCCCCGGGCAGCACAGGAGAGCCTGGAGTGCACGCTTGTTGGTTTCAAATGCACTTTTCTGCCTGCAGTGCCCTACATGTGCGTCCCCTTCATCCCGGTCCCGGCTTTATTGAGCACCATGTTTTTAGCATGTTTTTAAATAAAAATTGGTAACGCGTCAAAAGCACAAGCAGACTGTCTCTTCATGGTGCATTTTGTTCATCTAGCTGTGACTGATCTGTTCATTATACTGGTTGGTGTGAAGGGCCCCAAGAGTCCCCGGACTCCAGTCTTAGGACATCCAGGACATTTCCCCAGCGGGGACCTCATCTCCCTCCCAGGGTCCTGGTTCCCCACGGGTGTGGGAAGGGTCTCAGTCCCCTCTGTGGGTACCTAAGGAATCCTGACTCCTTGGGTGACCTGATATGCAAGCCTAGATCAGGGGTCAGTCCAAATGAGGCCTGAGCCCTCCACATGAGAGACCAGGGCCTCATCTCAGCGGCTGTCTCCCCAGAAGTGGTCAACCCCATGTGAGGGGCGAGGAGCACATCTCTGATACTCTCAGGGTTCCTTTGAGCCTGATGTCTCTTCTAGAGAGTGCAGAGAGCTTAAGAACCCTTCCAGGGCAGCTCTGAGACATTCTCCAAGACAGCCCCGAAATCACAGTCTGAGGATGGCCACAGGGAGGGCTGCCCCCACTGCTGTGGTTGGGGTTCTGTTTTACAGCTTTCCTTAGTTGTCATAGTCAACACCATAGGGATGAGTTACAGATGAGGCAGCTCTGAGCTCTTGCCCAGGGTCATTGCTGTGTCACTTGTCCCTGGAATGGGGGCAGGAGGAGGCATGAATGTGCACTCAGGTCTGAAGGCAATAGGAGGAGGGGCAGCTCCAAACTCCTTTATCTCCTCTCTCAAGGGAATAGTCACATCTTCAGAATTGTCCCCAAACACCAGTCTTTGGAACTCTTATCTGCAGCTGTTATGTTTCAAAGCCTCTAGTTACTGTTCCCTGAATCTGGAGTGACCCTCTCTCAAAGAGTCCAGCTGGAATGGGGTCTCCGAGAGCCTCCCCAGGAGATTGACTGAGAAGGATTTGGGGGCCCAAAAAGCAGGAGCTGGTTATGGCTGGGGGCAGGAAAGCTATTATCTGCTGACCAATTGACCTGAGGGAAGCCACTTTGTCTCAGTCAATTCTTGCTCTTGCTTTTCTCTCCAGGCTGTGGGCATATCTGCTGGGGCATCCCAGCAGGGACAGTGTGCTGTCTGCTGGTAGCTCACAGGGCCGTGGAACACACTGAATCCTCTTCTAGCACCACACCCTGGTAGAGCCATGGAAGGCAGGAGCCCTGGTGGGGCAGCAGACGGGCCTCTGTTTTCCTTGGGTCTTCTAATGGTGATGCTCGAGTCTTCTGGGATGGGTTCTGGGTTCTCCTGTCCATGGAGATGGGTTTAAGATGACTCTGGGGAACCCTGTTTTGCCCTCTTCATTCCCTTGAGATGTGGGAGAACCTCCCTGCATCTGTGCTCAGCAAAGACAAGTGAGAAAGGATGAATCATGAGTGACTGCCAAATAGCTCAGCACCCACCAAGCACGGACAATACAGTGGTGGAAGATGTGTGCCCAACCTTGGACCACAGCCAGCAATCCAGTGGGGACAGGAGCCAACCCCAACTTGCATGGGGGGATGCCCTCTGGAGAAAGTACCCTCTAAGCTAAGAACTGAAGATGGAAGAGTTAACCTGGGAAGGAGGGGAAGGAGGAGTGTCTGTGTGGTGGCTGAGCACAGGGTGAGGGGGCGTGTCTGCAGTGGGCAGCCCTCACCAGAATTCATCCTTGCAGACCAGGTCAGAGAGCTTGAACTTCCAGCTGAGAGCAATGGGAGCTGCCTGAGAAGCTGTGAGCCAGGGTGTGATAGGCTTGGCCCTGGCCTTTAGGAAGATGACTGACTGCAGTGTGGAGAGTGGGCAGAGGGGACGGGGTGCTGCAATGTTTTGGGTGAGAAATGATGGAACCACTGGGAGATGGATTTGAATGACACTCTGGGAAATCAGCTAGCCCTGATAGGTAATGAGGTTTACTGGGGGGAGAAGGAGTGTCCTTGCCATTCACCCAGCATGACACTCTCACCCTGGAGAGGTAGATGACTAATTCTCTGCACCAAATAGATAGATGACTGTACTGTCTGGTATTGGTGCTCACGCGCAGGAGAGTGGCAGAGACCAGCATGGCATAACTGAAACGCTTCTTTTGTTTGTATTGAGCTTCACAGCTTCCAAAATGCTTTCATAAACTCTCGTCTAGGTTCCTCCTGACCAAAATGATCTTCTTGGCTGTCTGGATGCCCGAACTTCATGTTCGAGATGTACCATGGTGTGGACGGCAGGAGCA